GAGGGATAGGGGTGGTGTAGTGTGGAGTGAACTCAAACGGCTTGTTGTTTTCATGCCTTTAATTCGTGGGGTGGGGTCGCGGTGATTCTCTCCGTTTGTTGTCGTGGTGGTGGTGTTTTTGGATTTTTCCGTTTTTTATTCTTTTCAGTCCCTCCGAGGCGAATCCGCTGATTTTTTTTTTTTTTCGCCATACCGGCCCTTTATTTGTCTCAGGAAGAAAAAAAAAACATTTCTCTTTTATTCTCCGCTTTTCTCCTACTTTTCTTTTCCCACAATTCCGCTTTTCCCTTTGCATCCTTTGGGGTTCTGGCGGTTTTTTATTTTTTATTTTTGCGCACACAACAGGACCGATTGGCGTTCAAAAATGAACAAGCGGGGTCTATACGAAAAATACAAAAAGTTATACAACTGCCTAAATGGAGTGAAAACGGTTTCGAACTTTCAGGTCACCGGCACGCTGACTCCACTGGAGTTTGTGGAGGCGGGAGATGAGTTGGTGCAGAAGATGCCTGTGTGGGCATGGGCCGAAGGAGAGGAAGGCATTCAACCCTTTCTTCCACCCCGAAAAAAGTACTTAGTGTACCATGGGGCTCCGTGCTATCAGCGAGCTCCGGACGCCGACTCGCTCGGAGAGAATGAAATGGAGGGCGAGGATGGCTGGGTGACAACGCACGCTGAACGCCAGCCCAGCAAGAATGTTGTCATGGCTCCAGCGAAAACGATCAACTGGGACGATGAGGATGATGAGGATCAAGACAATGCAGAGGACATAGGGGAGCGAAAGTGTCGTTTGTACGATGTGTACATGGTGTATGACCAATATTACCAAACCCCACGCATCTTCCTTATTGGCTACGCCGAAGATCACACAACACTTCTCACCAAGGATGAGATGATGCAGGATGTATACGCTTCAAACAGAGAAAAGACAGTTTCCATTGATCCTCATCCCTTTCTAAAGGCAGCATGTATCAGTATTCATCCTTGCCGTCATGCGGAGACAATGAAACGTTTGATTCAGCACATGAAAACTCGTTATGAGGCGGAAGGGGCTAACGAGGCGGAAAAAGATGCCTTTGTTTTCCCCACGCATATGGCATTTTTTCTTTTTCTTAAATTTATTTCATCCGTTGTGCCGACTATCGAGTACGACCTTTCTACCAGCATTGATATATAGCCTAAATTGCGAGAGAGAAAGGAAAGAAAAACTCGTTCAACTCCCTATTTTTGTCTCTTTTTGCCGTTGTGGGGGTACGGCATGCTTCATTGGCGGCGGGGGAAAACGGACACGTGGGAGGGCAAAACGAATTGAACGTCATTTTTTTTTTTAGTCCCCGCTTTGTGGCAGCATCCCCTTCCTTTTTTTCTTCTTTTTATTCCCCCATAGAATTCTCCAAGAACTTGTGGGAAAAAAAATACGCGCAGATGCGACCGAGAAAGTGAAGAGGAGCGTTGCTTTTATATTTCGATCGCTTTGCCGGAGGGTCGGTATGCCTTCCACGGCGGCGCGCTGGAAATGGCGAAGGCGTTTTATTTAAGAACAGCCGCTTCTCTCTCTACACATCCTCTGGCTGGCCATCTCTCACCATGCATGAACGCGGCGAGGGCAATTGGACGGGTGCAGGGCATGCTAACCACCAAAATCTGAGTTCTCAGCGCGACAATGCCCAGGCCATCGGGGATCAACAGCATCTTTGCGCTCTCTTCAGTGCGCAGCTAGTGGCCTAGGAGAAGAGGGACTCCGTGTGACCCTCGCGGAAGAGCTCTCCGCGAGAAGTGCAGGACTTTTGGGAAAAGGAGACGCGGCCGTTGACGAGGAAGAGGCTTGGAGAAGCCAGCGCTGCCCGAGTTCACCCCCCAACCGCGTGGTGGCAACTCCCTGGTGTCCAAGCGTCGCCTTGTCCCGTGGGAAACTCCTAGCATCCTCTTTTTTGCAACGGCGGCGGGGACGATGGTGGTGGCCGTGAGCCCCCCGAACGCATGCGTTCCTCCACTTGCCCAGGGCTCCGCCAACGACGTGCCGAGCCGGGAATTCTCGGGGGATGGGGGGAAGCCCCGGGTTCCTCATTCACGACGCGGCTAAATGGGTCTCTCGTTCCCAGAGTGGGGCTTGCAGGCTCTGGAGCTGCTGCTGCGCAGGAGCCCGGTGACTGGGGATAGGAATCCACACATGTTCAGGAGGCGCTCGCGAGTCCCATGGGATGGATCGGGATGGGCGGTGATCGTGGTGCGCCGTCGTCGGTGGTGTTGAATTTCAGCGACGCCCTGCGCACGATGACTTTTGGGCGGCGCGCCCTAGCATTTTCATGATGGGGCCGCGTTCATGTTCGTACAGGACTATGGACGAGGCGGGCGCGTTGGCAAATTCTACCCAGCCGCTGACCGGGAAGGAGCAGCGAGGACGATCTTCTCGTGGCCGGCTGTGCGGGTTGTTTGGGCAATAAGCATCTTGGGGCTTCTTGGCGGTAGTGGATGCGCTGCTGCGTAGCTTCGCGGGATGTTTGCCGCAAGGCGTGTGGGTTTGTGTGTGCGCCGTGTCTCGTTGCGGGGTTGCGCGCCACTGCTTGTGGGAGGTCGGTTTGGCACCGTTTATTCTTTTACGTTCGCGCCGTCCCGATTTTGCGCGGAAGCCGCTTGGCTTTTTTTTGATGGGGAAAAGAGAAGAGCAAAAAAAGGAAAGCAATTTTTTTTTTTCTTGCGTCAGACGCCGTGCGCGTGAAGGCGCGGTCCCTCCATACCTCCTTTTTTCCCCTCCGGGTCCCGGAAGCCCGGCGTAAAAGCGCGCAACAACTGAGCGTTTCCGTTTTTTTCATAACGGATGTAATATGTAAAAAAAACAAAAAAAAGAACAGCCCAGATGGCGCACTGGTGGCCCAAGCCCTGCCACCTCTTTACAAACTTTTTTTTTTTTTTGATTTGCGAAAACAACTCTGAAAGAGCTGTCAGTAAATAAATAAATAAATAATAAATAATCCCGGAAACGATGGTTGCCGCCCTCGAAAATAATAATAATAATAATAATAATACTCTCCTATTCCCCCTTTCCTCCCATAAGAAAAACAACAACAACAACAAATGGCCAATGTTTAAGTGTAAACAAAAGAAAAACGGGAAGAACAAATACAAAGGATATTTTCTTCCTCTCTACCGTATTTGTTATGTCTTCAGCTTCGGTGTGGCATGAAAGTGGTCGGCCATCACGCGGGCGACGCAGGTGGTCAAACCCTTGGTGAACGGCACGTGAAGGAACTCGTTTGGTCCGTGTGCGTTGCTCTTCGGCCCGAGCGTCCCCGTGACGACAAACTGGGCTTTCGGAAAGCGTTTGAGAAGCATCGCGATAAAAGGAATGGATCCACCCAGGCCCTGTGAGGCGAATGGTTTGCCAAACACGGTCGTGCTCCCTTCATTCAGGGCTTTGGCGAGCCACGGCTCGAGTTCGGGGGTCGAAAAACCGTAACCCACAGAATCTGGTTCAAAATGAACTTTGGCCCCATACGGCGGGTCCGCCTCAAGCATTTTCTTCAGTGAGTTTGCGGCATCATCGGCATTGGCTGAAGGTGGGAGACGAAGTGAAATCCGTAACGTCGATTTTGCACGAATGACATTGCCAGCTGTGGCGGGATCTGGGAGGTCAGCCCCCGTCACGGTGAGTGCGGGTTTCCAAGAGTTTCGCAGAGCGAGTTCGACATTGTCACCGGATGCTGGAGAGACGCCGGGCAGAAGAGCGAAATGCTCCATGAAATTCACTTCATTCATGATTTCCATGTTCTTCACGACAGCCTCCGGAATGGCACAATGTGCCTCGGGAACCTTCACCTCACCTGTTGTTTGGTCCTCAACTCGATTAAGCAAAATACGGGCAACCCGGAATGGATCGGGAACCACCCCACCGGAGATACCGCTGTGCATACTTTCACTCATGGTCTGAACAGTGAGGATGCCACAAGCAACACCTCGCAGCGCCGTGGTTAACCACAGCTTGTCGTATGTCATGGCCCCACTGTCCAGGCAGATAAGAAGATCCACATTTCCGATACGGTCACTGAGCCGGTCAATATAATAGGGAAGGTCCTCGCTTCCAGATTCTTCACCCGCCTCAATAATGACGACGATGTGTCCATGAGGCAAACCGTGTTTTTGTACCGCCGCCAGAGCGGTCAACGTTGAGAATATAGCATATCCATCATCTGCGGCACCTCGGCCGTACAATTTCCCATCGCGGTACACAGCCTTTTGGGGGTGAAGACCCTCATCCCAGGGAGGAAGAGGCGGCTGCTTGTCCATATGGCCGTAGAGCAACAGCGTATTGGCTGTGGGTTCTGTCCCGTCAACTTCCACAATAAGGAAAGGCGTGCGACCCTTCTCTTCCAGGACCTCATATTTTAAGCCCTTGATGGGTTGATTCTTCACCCATTCCACAATGACGTCCATGGCCTTGCCCATGAGGCCGTTGGTGGCCCACTCCGCATCAAAGTGAGGGCTCTGGTTGGGAACTTCAATGTATGCGGAGAGAGCTGGCAACACCGTTTCGTCCCATTCCGCAGAGATGGTTTGGCTCACTGCATTCCAGTCAACCGACATTGCGCCCAAATTTCAAGCTTTCCTTTTTTGCGTTATTATTATTATTACTTTTCTTTTTTTTTTTTTTTTTTCGCTTGGTTTTTAGCTATCCCTACGAGATTTCTGGTAATGAGGGTAAGAGTAAATTGAGACAGTGCAGAGATACAAATATGCCTTTCACATATGCATATATAAATAAGTAAATAAATAAATATATGCAGACGCATACAACCCCGTAACTCGTTTCAACCAACCAAACAAAATGCACACGTAGAGAGAAACTCTTCGCCCCAATTTATGTCCGTTGCGGGCAAAGTAACAGTAATATAATAGAGGAGTCCCAAGGTGTTCCTCAAGTTACAATGTTCTGTGCATTATATATTACAAGTGTGTGTATGTAATTATATACGCATGTTTTTTTTTTTTTTTTTAAATCCCCTTTAAGCCTGTTTCCTCCCCATTTTCCCCAAGATATCGCCATCAACAACTTCCCCATCAGATGAGGTCACTCCCACCAAAAAGGCATTTTTTTTCTTCGCATCCGCACGGCCTTTTCTCTCTACGGAGCGGTGATTCTCAATAGTTGTGTGTGACAAAGTCGTGTTTTCCTCGATTGTCACGAATTCCCTAAAAGACGCCATGCTGTACGTGTGGGCGGGTAAAGTAAAGTGAAGGGCCAGGGATTTAGTTCCTTTCTGCCGTGCCGTATCAGATGCGGCCAACGCCACGGCACCGGCAGGCAATCGTTCTGCCAGTCGGAAGCCATACTTTCCAATCGGCCAGAGAGTGCGGGGTTGCCCTCGCGAGGTCGCCGTGTAGCTGGCACGCTGTCGGAGTTCCATATCCGTCAGCAGCTTGTAGACGCCGTCCCCATTTTCCCCAATCAATTCGCTTAGTTCCGGCAGGACTTTGACCCACGGAAGAGTCGTGCGGGGATGCCCACTGCCAGCAGAAAAGAGCGGCCGAAAGTACACCGGGTGACACGAGAGGCGATTATGCCCGCGTGAGGAGGGGGCAAATCCCAAAAGACGTGAAACGTGACTTATGACCTCATTACCCTCCACGTTGAGAGGAATGACCACATCACGGAGCGTATACGACGCCGCCTCCTCTCTTGTAAGAACAAAATGGGCACCGTGAAGGCCATCGCCACCACGAGTTAGGCCCAGCAAAGACGCGTCGGGAAAAAGCTCGGGTTTAGCCACGACGTTGGCAGGTAGGATCCCATCGCCATTATGCAACACAAATTCCCCAGCTTCAGGGGATCCCTCCACCGCGCCTCCGCCCAGTTCGTGAATGCGACAACTAGCGAGTACGTTCCACAACAGGGCGGATTTGCTTCTTTCGATTTGCGCTCTTAATCCACATGAAACATGGAGATGGTACCACTCTTTCAAAACAGCAGGGCGATCCTCCCCACTCTGAAAAAGTCGCACCATCTCACTTACCCAATCGTCTCCTGCCATTGTTCTTGCGTCATCGCTGAGGCACGCGGCAATAAGAAGCGCTTCCGCCGGCATTTCTTTCTCCCACGCGGCTGCTGCGTGGTATGAGCGAAACAGAGACGACGGCGACCGCATTCCAAAGTGACAGGGACCAAAAAAATTAGGGAACACCGCAAGCCATCCCAGAACTCTTTTCTCCAATTGCGTCTGCCCAGTGGTGGTGGGGGTGGTGATGCCCCTTAGAAGCATGCTGTACTGCATCTGGCAACGACTACTGTTGACGGGGTCGCACGGAAAGAATCGCCAACCGAGTAACTGTATATTAATTTGCAGAGGTCGTAGGTTTACTCGAAGTAACTTTTTAACGACGCTTGCTTGATGCGTCTCGTATGAGGTTGAGTCCGCCAGTAACAAACACAGACTACACACTTGAACCGTCACAGCCGACTCTTCCAGTGCGACATTCGCTGAAAAGTGTTCTGGAAGGCACATCCCCTCACAGGCCTCGCTCAGCAGTCGAAAGGCCTTCGAAAGAGACAAACCTTCCTTGTAAAGCACAAAGTGTAGGTACCGCTGCTCGGGCCCGGCCGACTTGTAATGACAGGTATCAACCGCATCTGGCAAAGTGGGAGAAATAAAAGTCACAATCTTTCCACTGGGAAGTACTTCCGCCACCTGCATATCACTAGTGTACATCCGAAAGCCACGGAGCCTCGGAACCCGCTCGCCGTTTCTGCCGTGATGTAATCTAGCCGCAATACCCGCCTGCAGTTCCAACTCCTGCATGGTGGGTCTAGACTGCAACTCCCTTAGGCCTGAAAGAATACGGCAGAAGTTACCGCCATCACGAATGGCACGCACAAACTCCCGCGCACGTTTTATTGCTCCGTCAATATCGACGGCAACAGCTACCCGCTGCAGGATCGTGGGATCCAGGGTTGGATTGTACAGCGGCAACGCGTCTCCTACACGGCTGTCTGAAGCCTTCTTATTTTTACCCAGAATTGGGTCCGTTCGTTTCATTTCATGTGTGATTGCCGCCGGAGACGCCAATGCCCGAGTCATCTGCAGGAGTGAACGGAGCGTGCACGATAAATCGGTGACGTCCTTTGAGAATCCCTGTGACGCGGAAGATGATGATGATGATGTCAGTTCCGTGTGAAGATCGCTAAGAATGGATGACACAAATAATGAGGTGCAAGGCGTTGATGCCGTCGTCGTTGCGGAGAGCCGTGAAGTGGCACGCGGCACCCGTATCCGACGGCTCACGGCCGCCATGGCGGCTTGCACGGTTGGCGATCGAGGTGACATGTCCCTTCTTCTCAGCCCTGCGCCTTTAGACAGTTGGAGTGCAAAGAGAGAAGGAGCAGCACGGAGAACCGCCGTGGCAACACACCCACCAACCACAGGCGGCAAAACTGAATACTTCCACCACAATTAACACGCAGTGCAGTCGCAGAAATTATTTAAATTAGGGGGAAAAATTACAAAAGAAAGAAAAATATGTGTTGGCTACGCGAATTTTTTGCCCAGGCGAAAAAAGCATTTTTTTTTTTTCACCTTCGGTGGGTTTGCCTGGCTCCTGCCCAATTTTTCTATTGATTCCTAAATGTTATTGCATATAGATATATAGATATCCATACATGTATGCATTTGTTTTGCTTAACTGTCCCCCAAATCAATTTTTTTTCTTTTTTTTTGCCCTTGTGATTTATTTTGAGTTTCTCTTCTTTTACTTTTTTTTTTTTTGGGGGGTGGGGGGGTGGGGTGTGGGGTTATTGATGTTAGTCTTCATTGCTACTCAAGCCCGTTTTCCGCGGTGTGTCTTCGATGCCTCGACCAGTCTCTTCTGGTCTCCACACAGGCTGGCAATGCGCACAATAAACTCCGTAAGGAACTGAAAATCAATAATCTTGTTCAACAATCGGAAAGCTGCACTTGTCATGCCTTGATCCCACACCGTCAGGCGTCCCGCAGAGGCAAACAATTGGTCAGCAATATACGATGGCGGGGCTACAAGCCTCCGCGTTGCCTCGATGGTGCTAAGCTTCGGTCCCTTGTACTTGAAGAAGTTTGTGTTCACGGGAGAGGGGTGAATGACAACCACATGGATGCCCGCATGGCGCACTTCCGCGGCAATTGTTGCGGCAAAGTTTGTCAAAAACGCCTTTGAGGGGCTGTACAATGTCGCTGTTGGCCCTGGAAGGTAACCGGCGCTGGATGAGGTGAATGCCACAAGGCCCCGCCGCTGCCGCTCCAACATCTTTCGCAGAAAGTGGTGGGTGATAGGGATGGCGCAGCCGGCATTGCACTCAAGGTTTGCACGCAGCCGGTCAACCTCCGTATCGGTGAAAAGCCCCGTGTGGAGGTACCCGGCGTTGTTGAAAAGAAGACCAACGTCGAGGTCTTGTGTCGCCTCAATGATGGGCGCCATGTAACGCATTCCCTCCCCGCCCAAGTCCACCGCCACCTTGCGAAAGCTGCGCTTCGGGTACTTCTTCTGAAGCTCGGCGAAGGTGCTATGGAGCCCCGGATCCTCCAGTGCGACGAGCACGACGTTGATCTCTTGCTGCGCAAGCTTCTCCGTGATGGCCTTACCGATGCCACTGCTCGCCCCCGTGACAACAGCCCACTCCGCGTCGTACTTTTTCTTAAGATCCTGCGGGATGCGCATTGCCAGCTGCTGCGCGGCGGCGGCCACAAGGTAAGTGACCATGCTGAAAAGACCCACCAGCAGCGAGACGGTCGACAGCACCCACCAGAGGGCGCCAAAAATGATGTTCATCTGTTTTTTTCCTTTCTTCTTTGATACTCTTCCTCTCTCTCTCTCTCCTTCCGCAACGTGTAACAGTATTTTCCCCTTGCCTCGCCCTACTCGTGGTATGTCTTTGTTCTTTTTTGTTTCTCTCTTTTCTTTTCGAAGGATAGACCTGCTACCCTACATTTCCGCGCGGGTGGCCGCGAAGACATCAGGAAGAGAAGGAAAGAGGGAGAGACAGGCGGGAAAAAAACGCAAAATGTTTTGAATTCAAAAATTAAAAAAAGTCACCATCCACCCACGCGTTGCGCTCACACTTTCACGCAGCGGCTTCAGCAGGGGAGGGGCACAAACATCGGGCACGAGCAAAGCAACAACGACAGCAACAAAAAAGCAAACACGCACGCACACACACACTCATTCAATAAGACGCAAGAAGCAACAGTGTCAATCACCAGACACGCAAGGGTTTTCCTTCCCTCCACCAATAACCCGCCCCTGCTTTTTTTAAAATTATAACTCGTCCCTTGGAAAGTAGAAACTGCGCAAGATTTTCATACTGTCTTTTGCCGATAACTCCACTTGTACGGAAAGCAGCCGGGCTTTCCTCGTTATCCCTTGAGGCGACATACATCGCTGAACAACAAGGGCCACGCAGGAATCTTTTTTTGCAGCGTGGCGAAGGACCATACTATATATGGACTTTCCACAGTCTTCCTCTCTGCAAAGGGTGTCATACAGCTCATCTTCTGGAATCACTAGACGCGTCTTGGGACACACACTGTTTCTGTAATCCGTCCATGCTCGCATAAAACTATGGCCGCTGACCCATGGATCCGTATTGGCTACCCCAACAGCCCGAGCATCCAAAGTGTCGGCGGTGCGAATGTGAAAAAGGTGAAAAGTGCCTGCGCCAGAAATACAGGCAGCTATGGTCTCCGTGGAGGACACAAGCAACCCCAATGCATGAACGGCGTTGGGTGTCGTTCCCCTGGAAAACTGACAAATAACAACATGATTTTCAACATCGAGTAATTTCACGGATGTCCCCCGCTCACTCACTGTGAGTGCCCGCACTCCATCGGGGGTGATCGTGATGCATCCCACTTCATTGCGGTGAACTTCCACAACGTTGACCGTAAGTTGGGGTGTAAGCTTCTTTCCAAGGTCCGAAAATGGCTCTTGCAGCAAACTAGACTGTACATGCCTTTCACTCGCATAACAAATGCAGCGCACAGTGCCGGTCGTCGGGCCAAGAATGACCCCATACAATTGGGAGTAGCAAATGCCACACGCCATTTTCTCTACAAGCATGGTACCCAGTGCCAAAGTATCACCCTTCTGACGCGAGGTCGATGCCGGGGTCGACGCCTGGAACGACTCAATCATTTGCAGCGCGTGGTCAAAAAGATATATGAGACCTGTTTGGATACCCACCAACAGCATGCGGGGATGAAAACACACCGCATACACTACGGAAGAGAGCTTTACACGAGCCAACACCGAAAGGTCTTCATTCACCGTGTCATCTGCAGAGAGGTCCAGTATTGTGACGGTGTCGCGGTGACCGGAGTCCCACCCCACCAAAACCACCAGATTACCCTGCCCGTGTAGGGCCACAATGCTCACGCCACCAAGAACAGGGCGCCGAATAACCTCACTTAGCCAGCCCTCCTCACTCAAAAGTAATTCTGTGCTGTAAATGATGAACCCATGCGTCAAGCCCACCGCAAGGTTAGTGCCTTCGTTGTTCCACGAGAGGCACGTCACCCGCTGCTCCAGTTGTTCCACAGTCATATACGCTATTTACCCCCTCCCTTCTTCCACAACTTTTCCACCTCTACTTCAAGTTCACACCGATAAGAGAGAAAAGGGAGAAAGGCACACGCAAAAAGAAAACATGAATGGACAAAATCATTTTTCTTTTTACAATCCCCACTGCATCTCGCTTTGCTCACGCCACAATAACAGCAATTACTTCTTTTTTTTTTTTTTTGTCTTCACTTCTCCCCATCCCTTTGTTCATGGAATAAGGATATTTCTCAGGTTTTCTTCACGCGTCGACATGCGCCGTGCAAGCCTCCCACATCTGCTCACGGCTTGTTGATGCAGTGATACACCGTTTGGGTCACCACAAGTGCGATGCTGCTCCCCCTCCTCCACAAACCTCAATTGACTCTTTGCACAACAATTCTTTAATCCCAGCAGATGCAGCTTTGCGGTTTGCATTTGCGGGGCTAACACCGTCAATGGCGTCCGCTTTGTGGCAAAATTGAAGTAATGCGCAAGATAGGCAACCCGCACCAATTCCTGCTCGCAGACATGCGTCAGGGAAAAGAGGCTCCTCAGGGCTTCTGGCAGACCCGCACGTACTTGAGAGACACGCATAACGGCATCAAATTCATTGACAGGACTCCAAACTACAAATTGAACACGCGACTTACGTTTACTATCCGACTGCAACTCCATTAGGTGGTGTAGGGATTGCAAAGCTGTTAAACGAGCACTGCGTTCCTGAAGGGAAAAAGAATTCTGCGGTATTTTTTTCCCTTCCCCACCCGCCGAAAAGGTCGAATGACACAAATAAGCCTCCCACCTTAGCTGGAACAGTGCTGTGAACGGTATCACTACCATCCCCGTGGGAGCTGGTGCTTCCCCGTGTGCCGCTGCCCCCTCCCCTGCCGTCGCGGGGAAGGCGTCCCCTTTTCTCACTGCCGCCGTCCATGAGGCGATGGCTCGACCAGCCAACAACGGCTCAACAAGAAAGGATGTCATCAAAAGTTCCCGTCGATGAATCGTGCTTGAAGGAAGAAGCCACCCCGCCTCCGTGCTCTCCTGGCACCATGCTGTGGTCGTCGTGCTGCTGCTCCCGTTGGGAAGCATAACATCTGTCCACTTTTGGGAGAAGACACTACTCAAAAGAGCCACATCCAGAGCACGCCGCGCCAAACGCAATTCCTCCTTGCCACCTGACGTTACTGCACTCTTTTGCGCACCCTTCAATGCTTGAACGTAGAGCCCAAACCACTCACCATACGGCACAAATGTAATGTTTCGATGCGGCACAGACGCCACGCGTTCGAATAGGCGTGCAAAGATATTCCCCTGCATGAGGGATCCTTTTTTTTTTTTTTTGCTTCCTTTTGTCCTTTCCCCTCACCCCCCACCCCGCCTCAAATGCAGGTGCCCAAACAAAAAAAACAAAAAACGAGATCAGGAGGAAGAATACAATAAAGCCCCACTCACTCACTCAGCATAAAAAAAAATAAATACATAAAAAAATCACACATACAAACAGACAGAGACGTGAAAATGAAGAGTCACATGCATAAATTTGTGTGTATTGGTCGGCTCCTCCTTCATATATTCCTTGTGAGTGTATAAGTGCATATACTTTGTCTGGCATCAACACAAACGCGCGGGTTCGGGGTGCCCTTCTCGCTTCAGGACTCAGAATTTTACACGACGCGTTGTTCCAATTAAAATTTCCCTTTCCCTTTTCCTTTATTTTTTTTTTTAAATTCTCACCCCCTGTTTACGCAGGCATCCATGCATCAAAGGAAAAATAATAATAATAATAATAATGATTCGCTGTATCCACGTACGTATGAAACAATACTATTTATTTTGGGGTGAGAGACTTCTTTACTGCGTTCCGCATCGTCTCCGTCACCTGCCTTCTCACAGCCGCCTTGAAAATGGACGTTCCGGCCACAATGATGTTCGCTCCTGCTTCTGCGGCCGCATCAATTGTCTTTTCACCCAGACCCCCGTCCACTTGAATGTTTAAATGGGGATACGCCCGGCGCAGTTCCGCGACCTTCGGCATCATGTCATGCATAAACGACTGACCGCCAAATCCCGGCTCCACAGTCATAACAAGCACCATGTCTACCAACTTCTCCTCGATGAGCTCGGTCACGGCACTCGCCGGCGTCTTCGGTTTGAGCGCCACTCCGCACTGCATCCCAGCCGCGCGTATGTGACGTGCAACTGCCTTTGGGCATTCCGCTGCCTCAACGTGAAATGTCATCTGCGAGGCCCCGGCCTTTGCCATCTCGTCCACCCACCTGTCAGGGTGACTGACCATGCAATGCACATCCAGAAAGGTGTGTTGCAAATGCTTCCGCAGGGCCTCTACCACACACATGCCGATGGAGATGTTCGGAACAAAGTGCCCGTCCATCACGTCCACGTGCAGCCACTCCGAGGCACCTCCTTCAACCGAGAGGACATCCTTGCACTCATCAAGTAGTCGTGCAAAATCTGAGGCAAGAATCGATGGAGCAATAATCGGCCGCAGCGTATCGGGACGGTCAGCGCTCAGCCACGTGCCACGGTCCTGGTGATCAAACATGCTGAATAATTCGAGAAAAAAAGAAATAGATAAAATTGGACTCTCGGACGAAAAGCCAAACCCCTGCGGGGGAATTCCACAGCACAAGGCTTGTGTTCAAAAGAGAAGGAGGAAAAGTTAAAACAACAACAAAAAGAGATACGGAAGAATAGAGGCACAATACAAACAACGTCTCTCCCTTCTTCCTCTCCACACCAGAGCCGCATCCTTTCCTCTCAGCTCGCAAGTAAAATCCATGCTTCATCCACCATGTGCCGCGCCTTGCAGACTTCCCATTCGCGCTGGACACGCTCCGGAAGTTGCTCGAGTGCAGTTTCCAGCGCGAGGATGGCGGTGCAGCAACCTGCACCTTCCATCTGCGAAAAATATCTCGTCAGACACTGCGACAGCTGCACGGCTCGTGGAGGATTTGCCAAATCGGCGCGGAGGGCAAGAATAAGCTCCTGCAACCAGCCATGCATCCGCGCAAGAACGGCCAAAAGTGCATGCATCCCGAGCATCACCTGCGGACTCTGGGTGGATTTCTCTTTGCATTCTCTCCCTCCCACCTGGAATAGAGCAGATGCGGCCGCCTTTGTCATAGAGGCGCCCTGCTGCTGCCGCTGCTGGGACGCCTCCTTCGCTTGCTGCAGCTTGCTGCACCACATCTGCTGGAGTTTGCCAAGGGAACGAAGAAGCGCACTCACGTCCTCTGTGTGCTGAGCAATGATTAGCTCAACGGCAGACTCCGGGAAGGCAAGAAGCATGCCGAGTGGGTCGGTACAGCAGCGCAACGCGTTATCATTGGCAGTAGCGGAAGCTGCAGAACAGCCAGTGCGCCGTATGGCTTCCTCCACAACTATCCGCTGCGATGTCAGGTTGCTGATGGCACTTAGATTGGCCACAATGGTGTCCAGAAGATTCTGACACTCGCGAAAGCGCTGCACCACCACTAATGCAGCCATGAATCTTCCCTTCCTTCCCCAATCCCGCTACACACATCCACCCAACCATCCCGTTCAAAAAAAAAAAAAAAAAAAAGAAGACGAAGACACACACAAGAAAAAAGCATATCACCCCTCCATTTCGTGTACTTCCTCCTCCCCTTATGCAATACTCTCACAAACCACAGGTGGTCCAAACCGAACAACATGAATCTAAAAGGGAAATTTGTTACCAATCATGGAGAACAAACATCACAGTAAATCTACGGTTTCACTTTAGAAGGACAGTGGGCGTAAAAATTTTCCGGTGCCTGAATCGGTACTGGGGGATAAATAAGAGAAAGAAAGAAATTTGAAAATTCATTTGGCCTTTCATGAAGAACACCAATGAACACACACACACACGCACACACAATACACTGCACCCTCATTCCTTCTATTCACTTCTTTTTTTTTTTTTTTAAATACTACTCTCTCCCCCACATATCCCACCCACAGTTATTATATACATATATATATGTGTATGTATATAACGATGTCCCATCAGCTCACTTTTTTTTTTTTTTTTAAATATATATATATTGTTTCATTCAGGCTCTGCTGCGGTGGCAACGGGGTTTAAACAAAGGAGAAGGGTTGCTCCTCTATCTGTGGTTTGCGCAAGACTGCATGTACCACAACAACACCTACAGAAGACAGAACCAACCAAAACACCACTGAACTACCGTTTGTGATAAAAAAGGAAATACCAGCAAAGATTGCAATAAACAGATATGCCTGTGAGAATGTTATCTTGCGGTTTAATACAATGAAGTGGTTGCTGTTCGTCTCCAGTGCCTCCACCCGCTTTGTACCCACAAACCACCACATGGCCAAGGTAAGAGCAACGCACAGAGAGAACGCTGGGTTCAGAAGCAGCACATACGACGAGCACAACATTGCCATGATCATGTAGTTATGATAGTAGTGATTGATATTGCGGTTGAGGCGGCTGAGAGACTCGCTGAGGCCTGACGGAGGCAAAAAACACTCCCGATCAAAAAACTCCTTCCACGGACGCACCATCGCCAGTTGCCGTCGTCCTCCATTCACTGCGTATGTGTAGTAATACTGCAACTTGCCAATGAGTGAGGAGGGAACTGCGGTGCCCACAGGCACATTGACGCCCACCTCAACGGCGTCTGCGGTGCCATCCACAAACGCCATGTTGCTCCTCTGCGGGGGGACATTAGGCATCATAACACTACCCAATTCCTAATCTTTTTACCTCCAACAGATCCAACGCAATATGACGCGTATCTGTATGGACGCAAAACCAACAGCAACAAAAAAGAAGAAATCAAAAAAAAAAAAAGGAATGAAAGACGTACACCGCGGGGGAGGCACACAAGCAACGCGACGCCAGTCACAAAGGCGACTTTCACACACACACACACACACACACACACACACACACAGCAAGAAAGATACAGAGGGACTGCAATAAAAGAAAAGAATCAAACCTCTTTTCGCATATGACGAGCCTACAAAACTCGCCTTCTATCCGCAGTCTCTCCCTCCCACCCTCTCTTTCATTTTCTCCCTTTTGCTGTGCGGCCACTGTGGCCAACTCTCTCTCTCTATATATATATGTTTATATTTATATACGTTTCTCTCTCAGTCAGGGACACACACACAAACACACACAAAAGCAGACACATGCATCCATTTCCCACTCTATCCAATAAACTGTATGCCCTTCATTGAGCCCACCGGTTGTTGTTATTTTTTTTATTGACCTTTCATTGCCACCTGGCGGTGTACACGGCCCTGATTTTACCCCTTTTTCTTTTTTTAAATTTTTTCAAATAATTTCTTTCTTTTTTTTTCTTTAAATTCCCACATTTCTTCGTTTTCTTTCTTTCTTTTTTTTTCCTTCGTTTTTTCTTTTTTTTTTGTTATTTTCCCTTCTCTATTCAACGCTATCGTCCCTTGAAGAACTGGATGCGCATCCTGAGGGCGCGCCGCATGATGTCAAAAATCTCGGCCGCCCTCAAACTGGGAACACCGTTAACACTTTGAACGCGCCACTCCGTCTTCACCGGCGGCTTCATGAAATTCTTGTAGAACGGATGCTTGCGCCTGGCGTCGCGCTTCGATGGCAAATCAGGCAACGCCCTTATACGCATTATCCGTTCCGCTCCCTCACCACTACTCTCAAGCGACAATCCCCACTTTACTTCATTGGAGTCGCGGCGTATCACCATTTCCTCTGGTGTCAATAGCTCTATCGTGACATTGTTGGGCAACACGAGAGGCTCAGGAGTTTCGCCTGCTGCCGGCAGCCTCTCCGTCTCCTTTGAGCCCTCCCGCAGCTTTCCCCCCATACCTGATGTGTCGTCCGGTGTGGCTTCATCGTCGGCGACCATTGGGTACGTCTCCTTCACATCATCTTCTTCCGCATGCTTCTCTGGCTCTGCCGTCAATTCCTCTGCTTCATTCGCATCTGCAGTGTACACATCATCGGCCTTCGCATCCAGGTCCTCGGCGTTTTCGTGCTGTTTTCTTTGTTGCTGGCTCTTTGTCTTCTTTTTCCTTTCCCCAGATTGCTTGGCACTCTTCTCACCCAAAAGTGGTTTTTCCCTCACCTTTTCAATCTGATCCTGAGTGAGCGCCAAGGACACCTTCTCCGATAGGGACCCTTTGCTCCGTTCCGCCATGGAAGGGGCCACAACTACAAAATTCATTACAATCGTCTCTGTGTGGGCACACAATGCCTCGGCCTGCGCGACTGTTGTAACCTCAACCCCATTGACCGCCATCAGAGCGACACGTCCGCGGTAGTCTGCGAGGAAATTCCTTGCCCTTACCGATGTGCATCGCTTGGGTAAACCGCTTACAATTAATTCTTCCGTTAGCTCACACCCCCACGGCATGCTTCGATCGGGGCGGTGCAAGACAAGCGTTGCACGTTGCCCGGATGAGCCCTCACCTCCTTGGTTGGGCAAAAGAAAGGCCAACTGCTGCACAGAAGGCTGTTTGAGTGCACCGTTGGCCAATTGAATAGCGATACGCTTATTCGACTTGGTGGCATTCTTAAAAATCTCCAAAACTTCTTCCGCACCAACAGACGAGATATCTGGAATTGTCGTCGAGTTCACGGCGACTATTTTGGCCCCTTCTGTAGTGCAGCAAAGGAGTCGATGCAACTCTTCCCCTTCCTCAGAAACGCTACGAAGCGAGGTGTCAATGTCCACTATTTGTCCGCATTGATTAAAGATAAGCCCCCATGGGGATGCGATGTCCGTGCGGCGCAGAACCACCGTTGATGCCTCACGGTCAACGGACTGAACCCACGTCTCCGTGATGGGGGGTTGCGTGGTACTCACCTCCACCAGCACTACCCAGTCGGCAAGTTGGTAGTATTGACGGGAAAGAATGGGCATCATCTGTTCAGCCGCATCCGGAGTGGTGTCCATGAGCTGAACGCATGGAAACGTGACAAGGATATTATCGTAAAACGATTCAAAGTCATTCAGAAGCGTAAGGGTAGTGCGCAACGCGCCCACTTGCTGGGCGGTCCGCTGGTTGTTGTGGCTGCTTTCCAATTCCATATTAAGACGCCTGCGTAACTGTTCAAGAAACAGCTCCACACGGAGTTTTATACTCACCCACGCAATTACATGAAGTCCCTCCACCATACCCGCCTGGGGCGCCGTTCGATGAGCAACGTACTCCGCTAGTACGGAGGCTACCTGCGCCCGGTCCAACTGTCCTGTGACCACTTCCTTGTGAAATGACACAAGAGCAAAGCGAACAATGTCCGCCAGCTCAAGCAGAGCATCCCGCGGTGTCAGAAGAACTTCCGATTCCTTTTGGCAAAGATCGTTCAGGCGCGCCATCACAGTGGCGATGCGGCGGGCCACGAGAAAGGTGTGCGGCTCCTTGGGCGACGGGGGCTGATTAATCGGGCTGTTCGGTGCGTACAGCAGTTCCGCTGCGGCGCCCCACTGTTGCAGCCTCTGGGATGCCGTCAGGCCATCTTCCATCTGGGCGACACAGCGATGCTTGCGTGGCCTGCTCTTGGACATAACAGCGCAGACAACCTTTTCGATCAAAACCACTGACAATGCCCCAATGAAAAGAAAAACAAAAAAAAAAAAAGGAAAAAGAGACGGAGAGAAAAACGAAAACGAAAAATGGATCAAAGCAGCTGCAAACAGCCCCATGGGAAACCCAACTTCTCATTCCGTTATTTCTCTCCTTTTTTTTTTTTTCTTTGCAGTTCGGTCTTTTGTTTCTTTTCATCATTTTTTTCCATTCGTTTTCCCTCAGTGGACATGGGGCAACAGTAATTGAGAGACTTCTGATTCTCTTCAGTTGGGCTTCTTCTTTTTCCCCCCCTTCTTACGATGGTGACCCTTGAAGCCCCCACCGGATCCCTTGCACTCCAGGTATGCCAGCAGAAGGAGCACCAACGTGATGATGTACTGCACCACTTTGGGGCGCATTTTCTCCAGCTCCTCGTCGTCAAAGTACGTCGGCCGTCGCAGCAACGCATGTGGGATAATAAGCACAGTGTTGATCAGTAGCACGAGCCCTACCGTGCGAAGACCATTTCCAAATACAAAGAGAAGCAACAAGGCAATGAAGTAAATGTCCGCAAGGCGCTGGTAATGAACCGAAATACCACCAATGCGCATCGTTGTTCCGTACCTCGACCGTTTCTTCCTGGAGAGCTGGATGCTGTGCACCAGCAACGCGGACACACAGAGAAGGACGAAGAACAGCGGGTCATAAAAGATAAGAAAAGGCAGCGTGACGGTGTAGAAAATCACGGCATAATTTGCGGCAAAAAAAGGAATGTTGAGGTTTAGACGAGAAGCCACTTCCCCAAAATTCTTCGGAAAACAAAATTGCTCTCTGTCAAAAAAATCCCTGATCCACGGAAGTTCTTCCTTCTGAAGCTCCTTGCGGATTCGCCACACCTGTTGCAGGACGTCACGCAGACTGGAGAGGTCAACGGCAGATTGTGGCTGATGACCTTGTTCCGGTTCCTGCTCCTCCGTTGAGGCGAAGGTTGCCGTGGGAGAGCCCGGCAGCCGTCCTCTCGCGGAGAAATCGGCTGTGGATGATGAGGCAAATGAGCGCGGCTCGCTGCTGCTTCCAGAACTGTCCCTACCGTGCGGGGTATCGACGGGTCCGCCGACGCCACCCGTGTTGTCCCTCTCCATGCAGTGAAGAGGTGCTCCTCTCCTGGGACGCAGCGGGCTGACAGAAACACGTATTTGATTCTAAAAAAGAAAAGGCGTATGGGTGCGTCAGAGAAAGAGTAAGAGAGATATAGAGAATAAGAAGGAAAACAGCAAAAAAAAAAAAAAGAAAAAGAAAAAGAGAGAAATGCTTGTGTTGACCCCCCACCTTCCCAGGAAAAAGAGGCACGCACACGCACACAAAAGAAAAAAAAAGAAAAATTTCTCCAATTCCTAAACATCCCGCCTCTTTTCTTATTGTCACCGATATTTACGCTATCCGTTTTGCCACAAGGAGAGTCTTTTGCCGAATGGGGCGCCGGCGTAGTCCAGAGGCTCCTTTGCCACGCACAATTCCCTCGCTTCATCGTGTTTGAGCGGGTCTTCTTGAAACAGCTCCTCGTTCTTCTCACCATCGCCGCCAGCCGACAGACGTGGACGTTGGAGAAACGGCAGCCCCGGAAAGAAGCGGTGTGCGATGTACTGAAGATACATTCCCTTCACGTCGCACAGCGGGCCCGGGCGGAGCAGCAACTCCTTCAAATCCATAAAAAGACGTTGTGGGCGGGAGGTCGCGCGGTGGTGGAGACGACTCAGCCACCACGCGCAGCGGTGGGAGAAACCAATCGCTTTCGCAAGGCGAGCGTCATCGCGAAACGAGCCGGAGAGAAGCGACAGTGACGAGGAACGACTGCCATCGCTTTGACTGTTGTGAAGAAAATCGCTACGCCCCTCCCGCCGCAAGAAACCCTGCGCCCCGCTTTCGAGGCACTGACACAGCAAAATAATAATCTCCATGAGCTTTGGTAGAAGGCCAACCAGGGAGTTTTGTCGCCGGCTCAATTGCAGCGTGCAGTTGCGCCGGAGAAAAGCAAGAATGGGGCGTGTCACCGGGTCAAGTCGCCTCGAATACGGATGCAACACAAGGGCGGTCTCCGCTATCGTCCTCAAGCTGTGTAGGCTCACACCGTCCATGAGCCGAAGCGACGTTGATGAGATGTTTGCATCCACCCGCGCCACCCGCGCCTCTTCTTCCGGGGTGCACACGACGTTGGGAGGACGACGTGGCAATTCCGCGCCGTCGGGGAGAACAGTACGGTAACACTGCTGCCACACGTAATCCACCACGCGGTAGCGTAACACAAGCGGCAGCTCGAGCTCGAGGCGCAGAGAGTCTACAATTTGATGAACTAAACAACCGTTTTTAAACAAGAACACATCTAAGGGCGTTCTGCAATCGTCACGTGGATCTGCGCTCCCAGAGCCGCTAATGCCTGCGGTCCACATTTCTGTCACCAACTCGTGGGCGAAAGAAACCCGTTTTTCTTGTCCTTTACCTGTCATCACCAACACCCAGGCGTCAAATACTCCCTCTCCTGTCTCCTCCCCCGCGATAATCAATAATGGGCCTCTTCCCTCTCAAATTAGTAAAAAAGAAAAAAAAAGGAAAGAGAGGATAAAAAGAACAGCAAAAAAAATAAATAAATGAAAAAAAAAACATGCGTGGTGACATGCAGCTCATGCAACGACAATAGGGAGATGGATAGGAGCAGATATATATATCCCATTTGATAGTTTGAGTATGTGGAGGGGCGATGTTGGGAGATGTATGATGGGTCCCACCTCGCGTTACCTTCACGCCCCATAGAGAGATCGAAGGGTCTGAAGCTTGTCAAGTGGAACCCAACTTTCCGCGTTCTGCCGTGTCATTACTTCTCTTACTTGCAGATCCACCGATGAGTTTTCCCAGACATGTTTTTTGCAATGAAATACACTCAACGCAGCCTTCCATGCCCCCGCAACACGTAATGCACGCAGGGCAAAGAGGACAGCAAGCGACGGATCATGCGCGCTCGCGTCCCTCATGGCTGCAAGGGCCTCCGACCACCGTCCGCCCTGAGCCACGCAGACGGCAACATAACTGCTCAGCCTTAGATTTCGCCGCAACTCGGCCTTGCCACCGTGATTGGACGGAGGAACCGAAGATTCGGTAGTGGGCAAGAGGGAGTCCCACCAACTGAGACAACTCCTCCAGTCTCCTATTCGTTGCAGCGTACGAACCAATGGGACCGCGGAAGAAGGGGTTATCTGATCCCGCAGCGCTGGTGTGGAAAGAATCAGATGACACAACTTCCCTGAACGCATGGTATTCGCAGCCTCCGTTATTGTCTTCACCGTCACCGCCGTTGGATGAATCTCACGTGAAACCATAAATTTTGTGATCACATCAACTGCCTCGCGCTGACGTCCTTGCCGGCTCAGTATCCCCAAAGTGATGTTCACCGAGGCGGCATTGGGGTGATGCATGGACAAAAGCGTTTGAAGCGCCCGCGTCCACGAGGATCGACTTTTTGGACTGCGATAAATATGAAGGAGCTCCTCGTTGTTCGTCAACGCCGCAGCATCAGCCGCAGTATCCCCGCCGCGCGTTTCCTCCAAGGAAGGGCGCTGCCGGTTCTGGAGATCATCACGGCGCATCTCGCAAGCAAGCCTCACCCAAGGCTCCTGCTGAGATGCGGGAATGTGCGGAACGACGCAACGCTCAAAGGACTCTGCAAGTCTCACCACCTCGGACTGGAGAGTGGAGCGCTGCTCGCTGCCGTGCTTCTCAAGACAAATCTGGCCATCCTGCAACAATTGGCACGCCTCGCTCCAGCCGTTGGCATCTGTCATCGCCGCCAGCATCGCCAGCAGCCTCGCGGAGAGACGCTGAGGGCACACGCTCGCTGCATCACTCATAACGACGTGCTTCGCCTCTCGCCACTTGCCGGCCTGTACCAACATGCGTGTCAAAAGCAATGTATGCGACCCCGACACGGCGACGTCCTCAACTGCGGTGGTGCGCCACACGGCAAG